CCCCCCTCATTCACAATGAAGGACGTAACTTCTGGCCTCACCTGAAGCTTGCTTTTGAGAAGTTCAAGTTGCTGCTGGTTGTGCAAATACTCTAGCTGATGTCTAGAAAGCACGACGTCACATTCGATGAAGCTATTCATGAATAGTGGCAACAGTTCCTTTGAAACATCCCATCACTCAGTCTTTGGCGAGAAGGCGGGCTTTAGAATGAAACTCAAGGATGCGGTTGATTTGGGAAATGGGGGAGGGGAGCGGAAGTCAAACTTAAAAGGAAAGTCCATTTTGTTGATGAAATAAAGCCTCTTTCAGGACCTGTCCAAGGCATCAACAAAGCCTTTGGCTGCTTCCTGCTACGGTTGAAGACAATTCCAACCATTATGCAATGGGGTGGCTGATCAGACTCTTTACCTTTTAAAGGAGTAAGTTGCCCCTTCTCTGTCTTTCCTTAAGCCCTTCCATCTTCTCTCCTCTTTGCCAAGACTCCCAGATACAGATTTCTCCCCACTTTGGTTTTTAGTTCGTCTGACATTTATCTGTCGTCTTCCTTCATCTTCTTTCATTCTGCAGCCCCTCGTGTGAGATGTCTCTCACACACCCTATGATATTGCTACTCTTGATTCTGACATTTCTTTTATTTAAACCATTTTACTGGGGGCTCATATAACTCTTATCTCAATCCATCCATCCATCCACCGTGTCAAGCACATTTGCACACATGTTGCCATCATGATTCTCAAAACATTTGCTTTCTACTTGAGCTCTTGGTATCAACTCCTCATTTTTCCCCACCCTCCCTGCTCCCCCCTCCCTCATGACCCCTTGATAATTTATAAATTATTATTTTGTCATATCTGTCTGACGTCTCCCTCCACCCACTTTTCTGTTGCCCATCCCCCAGGGAGGAGGTTATATGTAGATCCTTGTCATCTGTTCTCCCATTCCACCCCACCCTCCTTCCATCATCCCGGTATCACCACTCTCACCATTGGTCCTGAAGGGTTCATCTGTCCTGGATTCCCTGTGTTTCCAGTTCCTATCTGTACCAGTGTACATACTCTGGTCTATCCGGATTTGTAAGGTAGAATTGGAATCATGATAGTGGGGGGTCGAGGGTGGGGGGGAGGAAGCATTTAGGAACTAGAGGAAGGTTGTATGTTTCATCGTTGCTACACGGCACCCTGACTGGTTCGTCTCCTCCCTGCGACCCTTCTGCAAGGGGAGGATGTCCAGTTGCCTACAGATGGGTCTTGGGTCCCTTATCTGTAGATTCTGACATTTCTTACAAAGAAATGTGTCATTTAAAAGGTACATTCTTTATTAACAGCAGTGTTATTCTAATGCAGTTGGACACATTTCACATTCTGATAATCAAGAGTTCTGACCTTTTAAGGAGAGTTTTTAATAGACTCTTTGACTTGGACATATGTACACACACACCAATGGAAACCATCATTTGCTTCTAAGAAACATGGAATGGTCTTCATCTACAGACACTGGTCCATGAGTCTTTCCACAATCGATTCTTCAGAGCCATTTTGAATGTTCTCCACAGCAGTGTGTGGGCACTCAATGACTGCTGACCTCTCAAAGCAACATTGACAACTGCTTTCGAGTGCTGTTGGCAAATGTTAACCAGAAGCTGGTGACTGAAGCTCACAAATGAATCCAGGCAGAACACCGAGGCTCAGTGTTAGTTAGGTTTTTGGGTTTGGGCAATGGCTTTGAAGGAGGTAGATGACTGATGATTCTTTTGCCAATGGGAAGAAAGGAAGCACCATTCAATGGGAACCCCAAGTGTACTATTTCCCCCAAACCAAAGCCCCAATCCATTGCTATCTAGTAGACTCCCACTCATAATGGCCTTATAGGACAGAGGAGAACTGCTCCTTAGGGTTTCTGGGCCTATAAATCTTTAGAGAAACAGATTCATTCTTTTCCTGTAGAGTGGCTGGTGACTTTGAACTGCCGATCTTGTGGTTAGCAGTGCAATGCACAACCCATTATGCCAGCAAACAAAGTCATGAGTCAAGTCTGACTCATTACCACCTAAACAGTGGTTCCCAAGCTTCCTAATGCCATGACCCTTTAATACAGTTTCTCATGTTGTGGTGACCCCCCCCCAACCATAACATTATTTTTGTTGCGCCCTCATAACTATAATTTTGCTAGTGTTATGAATCGGGCGACCCCTGAAAAAGGGTCATTTGCCTCCAAAGGGGTCGTGACCCACAGGTTGAGAACCTCTGACCTAATAGGACAGATTAGAGCCACGCCTGTGGGTTTCCGAGGCTGCCTATCTTTACAGAGTAGACAATCTCATCGTTCTCCCTCAGAGCCACTGATGATTTTACACTGCTGGCCTTGTGGGGTGGCTCGGAGTTACTCATCGAGCAGCTGGGGAACAGCGGTCTCAGATGGACTCAGGACACACACAGTGGATTCATCTACACGCCCCGGAGCTCCAGCGATGGCCACCGGCTACTCCAAACCCAGATCCACGTCAGTGCCACGCAGGTCATTTATAGTGACCGCTTGGAGAGAGCAGAACGCACGCCCTGTGCGTAGCTGAGACGGCAAATCTCTAGAGGAGGAGAACGGCGCCTCTTTCTCCCACGAAGGGCTGGTGGTTTCCAACTGCTGACCTAGCGGTTCCACCAGCAACCCTCGGCACCCCCCGGGTTCTTCAACAGAAACGCACCAGGAAGCGCCTTCTCAGTCAAATGACATCCTAGATGGTCTTTGAAACCACCCCATGGGGGAGGTTTGCTGTTCTCACAACACTGCTTGGTAACTAAGACGTTCCCCGCCCTCCGAGTTCACCCTGAAAATTCAAATCTACGTGAAGTCCTACTCAGCCCAGGAAAACGACTCATGTCCCGCGGCTGGTCTTCTGCAACGATATTTCTCCCTTCGCTTTGCTCCCAGCGACCCCGACAGGGCAGAGCTGCCCTTGTGGGTTTCTGAGGCTGTCACTCGTTGGACTCGACACAATGGCAGTGAATTTGGAATTGGGGGAAACCTCCTTTTCCCCTTTGATTGCATTTGAAGTCCCTTCACACAGGATTTTTTAAAAAAAGAAATGGAAGAAAACTGAACATGCCCTTTTGGCTTGGCATACAATTTTCACATATTTAGGGTGTATTTCAATTAAAATGCACGCCATCATTAACTCTCCAGATGTCAGGGGCTGATACTGGGATGGCTGCTGTTTCAGGACAGAACGTCAGGTAGAGAGGACACGAGAGCAGTGTGCAGCCCTCCATGCGTGAGAGAGGGAAAAACAAGGGGGCCTCAGCCCACTTCTCCAGGGAGCTTGGGGCGGGTCCTGCTTCCTTCAACCAGGTGGAGGCAAATCAGACCTGTGGGTATTTGCAGCTGCAATCCCAGGAGCTCTGACTCATATGATCTAGGAAAATTTACTCCTTTTTTAAAATATGGGTGGTTGACTTTGTGCAAAAGAGCATTTCCCCCTGAAGAGCCATTAATGAAAGCCGCACCTTAGTCTTAAAGGGAAGTCAGATGGGATGCTGAATTATTAGCAATTCAACATATACAACATTTGCCTGGTTTGCACAGCTCAGAATATAACTAGAAGTCACTAAGGAGAAGCACGGTGAAAGCAGGCAGAAATTTCCAACATGAAAGTAAAATTTCTCCCTCAAATTGCTCACAAATGTGAGGGATTAGTAGACATACTTGGGCTCTCTGAAACTTTTTGGCAGCCAGTAACTTCTTTATGATTGACTAGTTGCAAACGAAATGATTACTTCCCTTCTCCGGGCCATTTTGTGAGACATTTTAAATGAGGTACCACCAGAAAAACTTTCTGACAACTTATTCAATTGATAATCCTGCCCGGCATATCTGGTTACTTCATGCCTAAATTACTCCACTTTCTTTATTAGTAGATACCCAACGCAGGTAAGTACCTTTGCAGACACCTGTATGCTGTTTTCTTGCATGTTCATGATGGCTTCCGAGATCTTGACATCAATAGGATCCATGACGGACTCAATGTTGAATGGTCCTTCCAGTCTCTCGGCCACCAAAAGCATTGCATCTGTCAAAATTCAAAAATATATGAATCTTTTTTAGTCTTAAAAAACCTGTGCTTTAACAGTTCAAGAAAAACTGCCTGAAAAAAAATCGTTCCTTCAAAGCTCTTACTTGCTTTCATGTAGTCCAAAATGAAGCGATGACTAAAAACTCACACAGTACTTTCTTTTATTTCGTTCGAAGGCTTAGATTTATCTTAAACATACAGAATCAGGCCTGAACATGAGAAAACGAATTCAACTTCAGAGATGTGAGGCTACTGAACAAGTTACATGAAGTGCAAACAATTTGGGCTCAGGGATCAGCTGAATTCCCAGAATGGAGTCTTGCTGGAGCATGAGGAGACTTGGAAGCTAAGAGAAGAACACGTGCTAAGTGTCTGCGTGAAGCACACTACATTTTCTACGAGGAAGAGAGAGGTCCGCCGCTACTTTGTGCCATCAGTCTGCCTGGCCTGGTCGTTGTTGTGGTTAGATGCCATCGAGTTGGTGCCAACGCCCATTTACCCGTGCACATCACGAAATACCGCCCAGGCCTGCGCCATCTTCACAAGCAGGCGTTACAATATTTGAACCCGTGTCACAGCTATTGTGTCAGCTCATCTCCATGAGGGCCTCCCTGTTTTTAGCGCACCCTCTATTTCTCCAGGCACAATGTCTTTCTTCAGGGATGAGTTCCTCCCATATCTAAAGTACACGAGGTGAAGTTCACCATCCTCATTCCTTACCTAGCCTGCTCTTCTGTTGATGCCCCTTACGGACAAAGGGATGTGTCTTATACAGTTTTATATAGTATTCACGGGCTATTATAGTGCTTTTCAAAAAGAGGCTATAAACTATTGAATTGGATTAAACTGAATATTGATGAGAAAGACTTCATCGTCTTGAAAAGAAAGTAAAAGTGATATGAAGGCAAGAAGTATGAGTGGCCTAGTGGGTACGAGGTGGGTTGCTAGCCAAAGGGTCGGCAGTTTGAAACCATCAGCTGCTCCAAGGGAGCAAGACGGGATTTTCTACTCGAGTGAAGAGTTACAGTCTTGGATACTCACAGGGTCAGTTTTGCTCTGTTCTATGTGGTCTCCATGAGTCAGCTTCGACTCGATGGCAGTGAGAGCACCCTGGCTCCCATGGACCCTGGTGGGACTGTGGCTTAGGGGTAGACTGCTAAGGTGCAAGGTCAGAGGCCATCGGCTGCTCTGCTCGGGAAAGGCGAGGCTGTGTGCTCCTGTACAGAGTCGGAAACCCCACAGGCTGGTTAGGAATTGGAATGGGCTTGAGACAGCGGGTCTGAGTTTGAGGCATCGTTTCTAATCTTTGCTCTTTTGTTAACTAGGTAAACCACCATAAGGACCATCTCTGAGCTTCCAGTGCGACAGGTGAGTGAGGTGTCCAAAGAGGCCTGCACAAAAGTAGTGAGAAGTTCCTATGGGCCAATGTTGGCATTTCTTATCTCTGTGCTACTCGTGTTCCGGGCCTGGTTTGGGAACCTATGCTCTACCAGAGTTTTCACCTAGAACTTTCTTAAACGTAATCTACTAAAATGTGAAAAGTTGCTAGTGAGATTGAGAAATTGAATTCTCGATTAATTCATATATAATCACAAATAACAGCTGTTTCCAGTGACTACTATACTGGTCAGCACTGCTTTTATACAAACTTACAAGGTCTCGACCTTCCAATTGCTGAAGCTCTTGATAGTCCATCTTAACATGCTTTCATTACTTTCAAAAATAATATCTGTTACTATAAATATTTAGAAAACAAAGAAGAAGAAAAAACCCAGAGAGAACTACATCCATAATCTCTTTTCCCAGAATAGCACTGTAGACAGTTTGGTATATACACTATGGTTTTCTTTCCCTCCATGCATGAATTTTTAAAGCATGCAATTAGAAATATACTATATATATATCATATAATACACTTTCTCAATGTAATGAATTATTAATAGAAAGCACTTTTTAGAGCATCTCTTTTAAAGTATTAGTAGAAAGAACCCCCAATGGTATTTTTTTTAAGTACTACATAGATAATAGTAACATACAAATCTAAATTCCAGTCTCGAACA